GAGTGTCTGCCCGCCGCCCGCCCGCTTATAAGCAACTGCGAAGTCCAAATGTCACAGAGCCGGGAGGCTGCGGCTCCTCCAGGGCTTCCTCCCGCGGCAGCCCAGCGGGTGAGTCGGGGACGTAGGTCCGGACAACTTGGCTCGGGTTTGGTCCGGGTCGAGAAGGAGAGGCTGTAGGGGACAACCAGAGATTTGCCGGGGGACGGGGTACCATCCTCTCATAGGTCTGTCTTTCCCATTTCTGAGTTGTCTGACAGTCATGCCTATTAACGGCTATTCCCTGCTTTGCCTTTTTTTTTTTTTTTTTTTTTTTGCCTCTGCCAAGTCATTTCTACTTTTGAAGAAAAAGGAAGGAGCCAAGTGGACAAGGTGGTTACAGGTCAACTGGCGATACACTGCAGGGAACACATTTAGATAAGCAGTAAAGAGGCACCGTCTTTATCCAAAAGGAGTCCAAACTTGTAGAAGAGGCGATAGGTTTTATTAGACCAACTGGATATTTGCAAGCCATTCGTTTGCAAGCTTTCGGGCCCGCTTGGCCTTCATCAGGCATATAGGAGGGAGCAGAGACTGGCAAAGTTGTGCTGGGTAGAAATGACTGTTCAACCTGGATACCTGTCATTGTGCAGGGGTGTAGCAAGCCCCTTTTCTACATGTTTATTGGAGTAATGGACTTAACAAACTTAAAAGTTCTTACAACTCCCCCTCAGTTCACTTACGTCATGTACAATAAAAAAATCTGAACTACAATAGGTTTTGTTTTTTTTTTTTAAAGGTCTGCTCCTGCTCCCACCAGGACTTGGCCATTCTGCAGAAGCAGGGGCAGATCACAAACTTTTTCTGAACTTTGAAAAATGCACTAAACTTTGAGGCTTGGTGGCTGAACACTTTCTTATGATGCTTGCCACGTCAGGTAAAATACAACTCGGAATCCTTGTGAAAAGTAGCGCTTGCTTAAGAGCAATGGATCAAAATGTGATTTCTTGGTAGCAGGTAACTGCCCCCCCAAGAATAAAGCAAGTAGATTATAATTTTGAAGGGCTGCACTACAGGGGTTGGGAGCTCTCTTGTGTGTACTCTCCCTCTCTCTCTCTCTCTCTCTCTCTCTCTTTTTTGCTGATGAACCCATTTTGAATTGTTTAACCTTTTCATTTTAGGAAAAAAAACCCTGAAGCCAGCCAACCTTTTTATATATTCATAACTCACAATCTAGTGAACAGCTTGTATTTGATACTGGGAGGGGAAAATCTATTCTAAAGATGTCTGTCAGGTTTTGTTCGTCAGTGAAAGTTTCTCAGCAGACTAGAATTCTGTAAATATTAAATTAACGTTTCAAAATAAGGACGGTAGCTTAATAGCAATTATGCACCTGGTTAACTTTTCATATTACCTTTAGGATGTGGGCCTAGAGAAGCATTAGTACTTGTGTTTTAATTTAAGAACTCATTATTTAATTTGATAGAAGGTTGAACAGATTGTATTTTTCTTTTTTAGGGGTCTTGCATTTGGAGGATATGGCAGGACTTCTATAAAAGTCATTTATGGTTGTTTGCATGTTTGGCTGTTGAAGTATTTTACTATGAGGTTCCATCCCCCACCTTAAGAAATTGTTGTATGTCTGTATAACCTTTAATAATTTAATTTCTGTTTCCCGTAACTCATGATAGGGTTTAGCCTCTGTCTAGCTTGCATTTAATCAAAGGCCTGATCCAGTGTGGTCAGTGGGGATCTTCTGTGGGCATGGGATTGGATCTTTTGTGTTCTTGGTAAGACTTCTTAATGGAAGTCCAGTCCACAATTTTTACAACTATCCATACAACTTTTAATGAAAATGGAACCTTTTTAATGACAGCTACCAGAGAGCCTGTGCTGTGATCCTAAGAACTGAAAGATGGAACTACAGGTATCAGCATCTAGTAAGAAGGGCATCTGGTGAGAGTTAAGGGTCTTTCAAAAGTGATCATCTTCATGTACTAACAGACTAAGAAGGGACCGATCTTTGAAATGAACCTATGTAGCACAGAAGAACGTATATTAAGCATTATGATTTTTAGTGCAACTAAAATTCTCACTTCTTTTATTTTGAAATGTTACTACAAGGATTTATCCAATAGCAGCCTTCTCATAGCTTTGTGAATAAAGTCCCAATTTTGAATCTTGGTTGCTGTGTTGGTTCTCCCACTCATTTCAGTTCATAAAAACATCTTGTGCTAAACTCTCCACCTTGTTAGACTCCAGGCATCCCTTGGAAAATGCCAGTTCTTAGTTTTTACTCCTTTGCAACAGAAAAATTGCTCTCTTTTTTTTGTTTGTTTGTTTTTTCTGTAGTCAAAAAAACTCAGAAAGACCACAACAGGTTAGAATGCTTTTAACACTGTGGAATCCTGTTTTAAACCCAGATATTTATCTTGTAAATCCTGTTTGAACTCCTAAACAATAGTACTACCATTGTTTGATACTCCAGAGCACCTGTGAAAGGATCTCAAGGTATTCCAAGGCTCCACAGCGTGTGGGTTGAGAATCACTGGTCTACACCGAAATTATGCCTCATCTCACTTGATGTCAACAGCATAATTCTATTTAGGTTCTCATTAAGAGACATTCTAAATTAGCGTTTTGGATTTGTGTGCTTTAATATACTCGCTTGTATTCTTTTCAAGTATTTTCCTTTCATTTTGTTTGAATGTCGGAAAATATTTTAAAGTCCTTTTGGCCTAACCCTGCAATCAGTCCGCACTGAAATATCCCTTTTGACTTCAATGGGAGCTCTGTGTGCAAAAAGATTGCTTGATTAGGCCCAGTCATTATATATAATCATACTTTGATAGCAAAATTTAGAAAAGAAATAATTTTTATAGAATTCAGAGTTTCAAAGAACCTATATCAAGTGAAACTTAAGAGTAGAAAATCATGTGGATACATTTTTTTTCTGAAAGACTTCTTGTTCTCTTATCAGACACAAAAAAGAGTGATTCTCTAGTGAGCCAAATTATAGTTTTCCTAGTATATAATCAGTGGCAATTACTTCTTTGTAGATGTGTATAATAAGAAGGGAGAATGTCAAGTCGCACGCAGTTAGGTTCGCAAATCCTAAAAGAATTGCTTACTTCACTTCACCAAATGCTTTGATGTAGTGCATGTTATTTGTGATACAGCTGTCACTGGCCATCATCAAACAGCCAGAATTAAATAATACCTGAAGTCTCAAATTCCGTTTCTGTATGCCTAAAACCATTTTGCCTGACAACAAAGACAGATACTAATAATGTGACTTAAGGCAGTTGACACCCCAGAGCATCAGTAGTTAAGCTGAAATGCCTGAGTAGGAAGTACAGGTTTGGGCTACTAGGAAGAAATCTAATCTTCATTCCTAAGAACTTCTATTTTGTCAGGTAAATTCAATGCAAATACAATTAATAGTCTATCTCTGTTGCATGCTGAACATTATGCAAAACGAAGGAAAAATAATGTGTTTAAGATCACTTCTGTTTTTTTATTAATATTTTAGGTGTTGAGAAAGGTGAGGATTTTTTTTAACATCACATGAGCAGGGTCTCTTTTATAAGTTACCTGTTTATCTGCATGTTCCTTAGCCTGCGTAATTCTCCAAACAATTTTTTGGAGAAAATTATTTTTAGGTCCATCTAATTTGGGACTTAAATTGAGATGGCACACAAGATGTGTGGGTTTTTTTTAATTTATGCTTTTTTAGGTTATTAGCTTACAAAACACTTTCATAGTATTCATGAAGGATGGACAATACAGATGCTGTGACAGTTCATTTAGTATGGATGCTACTACAGTAGTCCTAGCAGATGCTGGGAAGATTAATATAACACAGACACTACTGTCTTTGCAGATCTGTATCTGCTGGGAGAATTATTGTACCATGGACACTACTGTCCCAGAAGATGCTGTGAAACATTAAGAATCGCAGACATCCAGGCATGACTGTCCCAGCAGATGCTGAGAGACTTGTAGAGCTAAAACAGCTGTTGGTGGGAAGGTTTATTAAACATTGATACTGCTGTCCGCTCACATCTGCACCTGATGAGAGAACTGCTTAAGCATACTACTGTTTTAGTAGTTGCCCTATGATTTTTAATAAGGGTAATCTCTCTACTGTTTAGGCATATCTTTGTTTGCACTATCATCATTACTATTGGCACAGACTGCTAAGGTGCGTCTACATAACATCTATAATAATACAAAATAATGTAGCTGTAACAATCTTGCTAACAAAAAAAATCTTTTAGCAAACATTTATGATCACTGACATGAAGTACAATGAACCTCATCATACTTGCTTAAAATTTCCTTTACCCAAGCTATAATACTTTATGAAAATGGTGTTCTCAAAGGTCCTGGGAATGCCTAAAGGATTTCTGGGTCTTAAGTAGTTGATTAGATGCCTGTGGTCTTGAAGTGATTCACTGCAGTTTCCTGCCCCACCCTCCCCTTTACTGGAAGTTTCAAAATTATGTATAGATCCTCTTACAAGATTAATAGTAGGTCCTGTCAGATTGCACCTGTCTTGTAATACTGAGAGTAGTATGTACAACATCATCAAAAGATGATTCCCTTGCAGCACTTCAAGCATTTTTCTGTTTTATTTGCAAAGTTTAGAGCGCAGTTATCCAAATCTCTAATTTGAGCGTTGGACAGTTCTGAGTACAAGGAATTTTTTGTCTCTAGTAATATTATTCCCTTCCCCTTTTGCAGAAGAGTAAGTATGATCATTATAAGGTGTTTGTAATAATCTTTGTTATGCCAGGTGACGTACAGTTGTGCTTTCTTGCTATCAAGAAGAGCTGTAGGTAGAGCACCCCCATTGCCATTTTGAAGTGTGGGGATGCTGAATACATGAGACACGGAGGCTGCTGGAGCACACTAATTGTCACACTCCAGCAGACACAATTAATTGAGTTTGCTCCAACATGCTAAAATTACAGCGCATCAGAGCAGCATCCCTGCATGTCTACAGCCATCCAAAATTACTGTTTCAGTCCAGTCCTAAAAAAAGTAGTTTGGAAGTATAGTGACCCAGTAGTATAACTATGGTGAGTAAGTGGGATACAAGTGTGGGTGCTGCCTAAAGAGGGATGGGGGAGAAGAGTGCTGGAATGGAGCTGGGGGCTGCCTTACTCCTGTTCCTCCCTCACGCCTATGCTAATGGTAACCCTGCACCCTCCTTGTGGTGGCTCCAGTTCTATAGCTCCTGCATCTGGGAGGACAGAGCGACAACAAAGGCACATGGTACAGGGACAGTGGTCAGAGCTTTGCTGCTGCGAAGTGCCTGGTGGGGGAATGCCACCTCCTATTTTTGCCACTGAAAACTGGTGTTTAGATAGATGTTCAACAAAAGCATAGGCAGAAAAATAAATAAGAAGGTGACATCTTCCCCCAGCAGCAGTGAACCTCCAGCTGCTGCTCCTGCACTGTGTAGTCGCTGCCCGGGGCACAGAACTGGCAAGTTGTTTCTCACTGTGTTGATCAATGTGTCCTTGAGGGTAGTGCCTCTCCCAGTCACTTTTCTTTGTAAACGAAACTTGTCTAGGTGCCTGTAAATCCTTAAATTTAGCCAGCTGAGTCACCGAAACGGACAAGAATCTAGCTGTAAACATGTGTAAGTGCCATGGGCTTTGCTACTAAAATAATTTATTAAAATGGTTAGGAAAAGAAGTTGGTTGAACCATGAAGCTTTCAAACTCTGCTTGCTTAATATATCAAGCTTTGTATCCATACTGCAGTTGCTCCTCACCCCCTTTACCACATTATTCTGCAGCTATCTACTGCATCTTGTATTTATTCATATAAATTCTTTGCAGCACAGTCCAACATTTGTATTGTAACATCTGTATCATGGGATCCTAATCCCAAATGTGACCATGGGTATTGTTTTAATACCAGTAC